CTTGACCTCATAGATATCTATAGACTAATGCACCCCAAAAAAGCGCAGTATACCTTCTTCTCCAAAGTGCATGTGATTTCTATAAAAAACAAGCTGTACAAATAAAAATAATCATAATTAATCAATGTTTTATTGAGTTCCAGACATTGTTCTAGGGCTCTGTCAATATTAAGCAGTTGAATTCTCAGACAAGCCCATGAAGTAAGTTGTGTTATGGACCCATTTCACAGATAAGCCATCTGAGACCCAGAATGGTGAAGTCATTCAGATGCCTAAAGCTTGGGAGTGATAAAGGTTCAGCTTCATAGTCAGGCACTTCACTTTCAGCATCTGTAATCAGAATCATATCACTATACTTGGTATCGCTCATCTAGAGTTAAATGAAAACGTTAAGATTTTAAAAGGTCAGAGGAAGAAGATACAGCTGAAGACTCAAACAGAGCCTGAGTGTGAAAGTTTTACCTGCCACTGTACATTCTTTTGTACTTAAACATTTATTTAATTTTTTTTACTATGCATCTTTTTTGTTTAATGTCTTGAACTAAACAGGACTTCTCTTTTCCCAGTGGACTTTGGAAGACAGGAGGAATGGAAGCTACGGCACAGAGCGCCTCTGTCAAGTACCAAGTAGGTGATGGAAACAAGCAGCTGCCGTCTCCAGCCTCCAGCCTCTCCAGAAACAGACAGCGGCTTCGATGAGGAGCTGGGAAGGCAGTGGGGTGGACTGAGAAAAGGGAAAACCAAAGACGTTACTGAGCTCCCACTGGACAAAGAGATCAACCAAAACTTTGTTCACATCTTGACTTTTTTGCATTTTCTGTGATCTCTCTGGGCCTCCTTCGCTCATCCCTAAATAATAAAACTGTACCTAAACCACAGATTTGCTGAAAGAGTGTGAGTGAATGCACATGTCAGTTTGGCTAAGCCATGATTCTCAGTGCTCTGCCAGGTATTGTGTGTTCATATTCTATTAGTGGTCTGTTACAAGGGAAGTCTCCCTGAGAGTGTGGTCTGTTTCCACACACAGATATTCCGGCAAAGCTGGTGCTCTCAATCCTTCCTTCCGCTCAGCATCTTCTGATCTCCTGCCTGTCCTGCAGATTTTAGACTCACCAGCTCCCAAAACTCCCGACCTGCAGATCTGGGGATCATCAGGCCTATAACCATTTGAATCAGGAGAAGCTGCTAACCTACTATCTGATCCACTTATAACTTGCCAGCCTCCACAACTGCACGAACCATTTCCTTGGCCTAGTTGGTAGGGAGTTGCACTGCCAACCCAAAGGTAAGTGGTTTGAGTCTACCAACAGCTCTGCAGGGCAGAGAGGCATTCTCCTTCCATGCAATGTACAGCCTCTGAAAACCCACTGAAGGTCAGCTATGAGTTGGTTCTGACTCAAGAGCAGTGTGTGTTGGGGGAGTTGGGGGGGTGTGTATTTCATTACTTCTGCTTCTCTAGAGAATCTAGTCTAATATTGTTTTTGTTGTTGTGTACCGTCGAGTCAGAACCGACTCATGACCCTCTGGCGGGTTTTCAGAGGCAGCTAATTGCACAGAAGGAGGTTGTCAGTCTTCCCACAGAGCCGCTGGTGGATTCAAACCATGTGCCTTCAGGATTACAGTGCAGCTTCTTGGCACTCTGCCACCAGTGTTCCCTGGTCTAACATAGAGGGGTTAAACCAATTATTATGAAGAGCTTGGTACCATGCCTGACAGAGTAAAGCCTATATACTTATTTGCTATAGTTATTGAAACCACCTTACATGACTTCCTAGCATGATTTGACAATGTAGAATTCCCTTATTAAAATTCTCTTTTAATACTCCTCACTCTCCTGTCTTCCCTCTATCATTCCTTTTCTTACTCCCTTATAAGCTCATCTTCTGTCACTGTCTCTCCTTGTAATGACACTGGCTGAATGGTCATTGCTCACCATAAGCAGCTTTATGATAATCAGAAAAAGGCACTCCTTTTGGGAACATTTAATATTTAGCCTTGAACTCCAAAGGCAATGATCTGAAATGGGAACATGAGTTACTTTTGGTTATGAGGTAAAGTCAATGGGGAAGCTTTGAGAAGTTTTCTTGCTTCCCAAGAGACGAAAATATAAAGATATTCAACTCCTTCCTAAATCTGAAATCCCAGCTGGTTGCAAGGCCTGGATATACAGCAGTCACTGTGGCGTCATGAGGGTGGCCAAGTGGGGAATAGAGCCTTCAGGTGGTGGCGGCAGAACCAGAGGACGAAGGGGATTGAGACAAGGCTCTCTCAGAACTGTGGATTGTGTCCTTCCTGGAGGCCCCACCCCAAACCCTAGGCTTCCTGCTGATATATAAGAGATCAAAGCAGAACAAACTCACCATCAAGGTGATTCCGACTCACAGAGACCCTACAGGGTAGAAGAGAACTTCCCTCTAAGATTTCCAAGGCTGTAAATCTTTACAGGAGTAAACTCCACATTTGCTTGGTTGATTCAAAATACCAACTTCTGAGTTAGGAGCTAATCATCTCTTTAACCACTATGTGACCAAGACTCCTGTCATCACCTTCTTAGTTAATTTAAGTCAGAGTCAGGATTTTGGCCCTTGTAGCAAATAATTCTCATAAGTGATACGAAAATCCTAAGGCTGATTTCTGAAGGACCCCTGGTGGCACAATGGTTTGGCCTTTGCTAATCCAAAGGTTAGTAGTTCAAACCTGCCAGCTGATTTGTGGAAGAAATGACCTGGCCATATGCTCTGGAAAAATTAAAAACCAAAATCCAAACCCACTGCCATCAAGTTCATTCCGACTCAAAGACCCTGTCAGACAGAGCAGACCTGCTCACAGTGTTTCCATCTTCAGAGAATCCTGCTTCTTCTGTCTCCTGTGGAGTAACTGCTGAGTTTGGACTGCCAGTTCTGTCCTAGAGTCAGAAATTACTGCTTTCTCTACAGCCCTCCCAGGGCTGCCTCATCCACACTCATGGTGTCAGTTCCCTCAGCTCTCTCCAGCCTAGTTCTTCCCCACCCTAAGTCCCACCCTCAGAATCCTGTGACCTCTTGACCCATTTCCCTAGTCTCATACCCATTCTGTTTCAAACCAGCCTCAACATCCCATGTTAAACAAGTTGTTTCTCCTAAGTCCCAATCTCAGGGGCCAGGGATTCTGTCTCCAATCAGGCCCATAGCCTGGCCAAATGGCCCATGGCCTGGCCACTTGGATTTCCGGGAACCCTTCCGCCAGCCTCTCCTCCTCTTCACCTGGCCCTGCCTGAGCCTCCCCTGGACACCTGCCCCAGGCTTCTTGTCTGGCTCCCTTTCATAGATCTGCCAAAGGGATCTTCAAAAGTCCAATCTTAACCACAATCCTCTAACCTTAACCTTACCCTTCCTAAACCTTTCTATGGCTTCCTACTGCCCTCAGGGCAGAGGGCAAGTCAAGCTTATCCCTTAAGGACACAGAAGATGTACTCATCCATGGCTAACCCTCCACATGCCAGTCACAGAAAACACTTGCTATCAGCTGATGTCCACTATGCCTTCCTACATCCTGACCTTTGTCCACACGATTCTTTCTGCCTGGAAAGCCTTTTCCACTTAACCACAGTCTACTGATCTAGCAAGGTCCAGCCCAAATGCCCCATCCCTGCTGCAGCCTCAACTGGGCCTGGCACAGTGTATGACCAGAATAGATGTGTCCTTGGTAGTAAGTGCTTTGACTAATGTATGTACCATCTCAGGAAGAGATGGCGGGATGTGATGAGATTATGGAATGAGATTCTATCTGCTTCCGTCCTGCTAGGCTGCTGCTGAAGATGTAACCTGGACTTCGTGCTCTGGCCATTTTGGGCAGTCACAGTCTGGGACAGATCTGTCTATGTAATTGGATTGCAAGCCCCATGACAATAGAGCCCAAGGCCATCTCGACCAGCATTGCATCCCTAGCTCTGCCCAGCACGGGTCACGCTTTCTGGGTGAATTACTATATATTTCTCATTTAACAGTTGAGGAAATCAAGGCTCAGTCACTTCTCTGAGGACCTCAAGTGAGGTCTGATCCCATTGCTTGATTCAATCAATAATTCACTGAGTGGTTGAGTGATAATGACAGATGGAACATATAAATCCCACTATTATTAAGTCAATCCCATAGGAAAGAATAGCATTACCCATGAGGTTTTTAAGGCTGTAAGTCTTTACAGAAGGAGACTGCCACATTTTTCTCCCAAAGAGCAGCTTGTGGGTTTGAACCACTGACCTTCTAGTTAGCAGCTGAGTTCTCTAAGCCACTGGGCTGCCAGGTGGGAGCTCTGGTGACCTAGAGTGTAAGGAGTTGTGCCGCCAATCCAAAGGGTTTGAATCCACCAGCTGCTCCTTGAAAGGAAAGAAAGGCAATCTTGTCTTGTGTGATTTACAGCCTCTGAAAACCTGCTGGAGGATCAGCCAGGAGTTGGTTCTGACTCGACAGCCATGAAAAACATAACTGCAATGCTACTAGTGCTTCTTGGAGTGAGAAACAGAAAGACAAGACAGAAAAAATAAAGTCAGAGAGGCCCAGAGTGTGAGAAAAGAAGTGCAGAACAAGGTAATGCTGGATGCTAGTGGAAACAAGGTGTGCCAACCGCTGCCACCCAGCTTGGGGCTGCAAACGCAGAACAGACGGCTGGCTGTGAGGTCTTGCCCACACGTGTGTGCATGGGGACACCTCGTGCTGTCTACTCCTGTCCACTGGGCACATGAGCACTAGGCCGGTTCCTCTCCACCTTGAGGCACCTGACCCCGCTACCTGGGGATGGTGGCATAGTCAGCATGGGAGTCAGCAGTGAGCTGCCGGTGGGGGTCTGGCGAGGGGTCCAGAATGCCCCCCTGATCCTCCTCCTCCTGACCGGCACTGGCAGGGCACGGGGGAGGCATCAAGATGAGTTCCGTGAGGCCATAAAGGTCAGACACGTGGCGGAAGGTCTGCAGCAACAGCACCATGGCGACCAGCCCCAGGAAGAGGTAGGCTGCAGAGGGGGCACAAGGGTGATGGTGGGGCTTGAGGACTCAGACTCCCACAGGTCTTCCTGGTGTGACTTGCCCCCCTCAGCCCCTCCAGGGCAAGGCTTGCCAGACACCCGGACTCACCTGTGACTAGCACCTTGTAGAGGGCCCTGTGGGGCTGGCCTGGGGCCTCACCAGGCACGTAGTCACCCAGGCCAATGGTGGACAGGGAGATGAAGCAGAAATACAAAGCATCGAGGAAGCTCCAGGACTCCTCGAGGTGGATGAAGATGGTGGCTGGCACCAGGAAGAAAACGGTCACTACGACCACCAGCAGGAGCATCAGATGCCAACGGGCTGCCTGTCGAGGGTCCCAACCCCGCCGCAGGCTCAGCCAGGAGAGGGGTTTGTGAGTCAGCAGCAGAGACAGGCGTTGGACGGAGGCAGTCAGAAGCAGCATGGTGGCCGGCACGCCGAGGACCGCGAAGGCAATGGCGAAGGCCTTGCCCCCGTCAGTCAGTGGCGTCGTGTACCCGTAACCTGCAGGAGGAAGGGGATGCTCAGTGCCTTCACCGGGGGACTGTGGATACCCCGTCCCAGTGTTTAATTTCACCCCTAGACCTCCTCCTCCCCCAGTTTCTGTTGATGGCACCTCCACCCTTCCAGGCGATCTGTCCAGGCTAAACGTCTTGCTGTCATCCTCAACTCCCTTCTCACTCACATCCACATCCCATTTTTCCATGAATCCTGTTATCTCAGATTTCTAATAGATCTGGGGTGCAGTGGGCTTATAGGGAGCTCTGGTGGCCTACTGGGAAGCAGCTGTGCTGTAATCCTGAAAGGCGTGCTGTTCGAAAGATAGGCAGTCTCCTCCTGTGCGATTTACTGCTTCTGAAACCCACTGGAGGTTCAGTTGTGGGTTGCTTCTGACTCGACGGCACACAACAGGGACTTTATTATTCAAAGTGGCTTTCCTAGGCCAATGCCTTTCGCCACATGGCTGGGCAGAAACATACCAACAGAGTGAACAGTCTATCCATGAGGGGACTGGCACGTTTCCCTGCCTTGCCAGGTTTAAATAGAGCAGGTTCAGTAGCAGAAATGGGGATCTCGCTACCAACCAAAAAGAAGCAGAGTGTAGCACATATTGTTCAGGGCCAGAGATTCTTGCAGCAGCCAGACTATGAGAGCAGCAGCAACTGAGACAGAGTGGGCTTGGGTTGCTGCCCCACAGGGCCAGAGATCAGGGCCTTCAGCCAAACTTGCTGGTTGACTGGTCAGTTGGGGCTGGAGAGGGGACACACCAAAGTCGGCAGTACTAAGGAAGTTTTAGAACACTGACCCAAGCTGAGAGGTTAAAGTTCAAAGGACCTACGAGCATGCTAGAGAAGCTAGAGAAGCTGCCTCGATGGAGGAACTGCATCATGTTGTTAACCCGGACTGTAGGCTGTTAACTTCCCTAATAAACCCTATAATGATGAACATGGTTCTGTGTGGTCACTGCAATGATTTCTGGCTCGGCAGCACAGCAGTGAAAGCCTCAGGAGGGACCACCTGTGAAAGAATTGGTAGAATTAGACCTGGGCGCATGTGTGACCACAGGAAAACAATTTTGTTCAGTGGGTGTAGTTACTGGCAACTGTTTCCCTTTCGGAAGCTAGTGAAGTCAGATGTTGCCATCCTCATGCTGCCCCCACTTTTTTTTTTTACTTGTTGTGTGAAGTCAAATCAGATCCAACTGGCACAGGAGGAAACTGACTGCCCCTCCTTCTCCAGCACAGCATCTGGTGGATTTGAACTGCCTTTGGGATTGCAACAAATTATCAAATTTAGTAAGAATTAATGAAGGCAGTGAGAGAGACAGTTGGAAAGGTTGGATGTGTGTGGGACATGTCTGACCTCATAAGAATTGGCTCTGGGCTGTTGTAGCCTGGGACTGTTCCTCCTGATGAAGTCAGAGGTTTGACAGCTGCCCCAATTCTATCCCATTTTTCACACTGGCATGTGGTCTGAGTTGGTTGGTACTCAGTAAACAGTTTGAGATGTCAAAATACTGAAAGGTGAGGGCTCTAGCCTGGGTGAGAGTCTTATTAACGTGTGTCTGACAGGCCTACCTCCAACATCCCAGAGGACTGTGGGAAGCAGGTCAATGTGCATGTGAGTTCTGCAAGCTCGGAAAAGTGGATTTAGGTGGTGGTGCGATTGACTCACTTCCACAATGATTGGTGGAAGGCATTGCATCCTGGTGGCTTCAGTGTCTAACATATGAGATCGCAGACTGAAAAGTCAGTGGTTTGAATCTACCAGCTGCTCCGCAGAATAAGGATGGGAAGTCTCCTCCTGCAAAAATTGACAGCCTTGTTAACACAATGGAGGGTCGCAGTAGTATGGACTGAGAGCACTGGGTTTAGCTTTTCATTTGCTATCATTTCCCAGAAGGAGCCTGGTGGTGAGTGTTAACTGAAAAGTTGGTGGCTAGAACACATCAGCTGCTCTGTGGGAAGAAGATGGGATAGAATGCTTCCATGAGATTTACAGCTTTGGAAACACTGGGTGGGGGGCAGCTCTCCTCTGTCCTGTAGGCTCACTACGAGTCAAGACCCACGTGACAGCATCGCTTTGGTGGGTTTTTTGTTTGCTGGTTTTTTTCTTCTCCTGCTAAATCAAAGCAAAGGGTCAGATGTACCACTGGAATGGTGAAGGGTTTGGTTTACATTAAGAAGAAAATGTTTTGCACAAAAGACACGCCCTGTGATCAACAATGGCGGGCTGACACTCTTGGTTTGCTCTCGACCAACTAACATTGGCTCATACCACGCACACAGCTGGCAGGTCCACCAGCCACAAAGCCCGGCACTGTGGTTCTGAGTGAGATCCGGGTCCACTTTCACCAAAGTGTGCCTTTTAAAAAAGGTATATTTGAAAAATAATAATAATAAACGGTGGCAACATTGTCTACATAAACTGGTCTCATTGGTACCGACCCCCATATAGAAGAAATCCCTAGCTCTCACCTGGACACTAGTTTTCCCCCGCCACTACAACTGAGTGTGACTCTGTGACGAAAATCTGGCCATTGAGGTAGAAATGAAAGAGACAAGTAATTTCCAGAACGCTCTTAGAGGGCCAAGGAGGATGCCTATCTTCTCTCTGTCCTCTCCTCCTGGTGGCCGGAACAGAGATACAAAGGCTGGAGTTAAGCAGCCAAGGTGGACCATGAGGTGACCTTAGGAATAGAAACCCAGCACTAAGGAGTAATAAAGAAGGAAGGTGCCTGGATCCCTGACCATCCAGCATCGTTCCATCTTATTATATCACTGTAATCTGATGTCTTAACTTATGATTCTGATCCTCATTAATGATTAGGGTTTTGTTGGAGGTACTCCAGCAGCCTGGTTATAATGTCAGATTTGCAAATGACACAAAATCCTCATAAATACAAAAATTAGAATGTTAGAGTAGACTAGGGTCTTTGAGCCTCACTGACTACATCAAAAAAGCCAAGTTCAATACAATTCTTTGTTACTTGTTCCTTGGCTGACTTCAGCCAAGAATGCTCCTCTCTGAGCCTCAATTTCCTTCTCTATAAAAGCGGCTCATAAAAAGGGAAGGAGGTAAGAAATAATCCTTAGTTCAAAGGCAATAAACATAATCTGGTGGTAGGTTGTGGCTGCTAAATGAATGGTTGGAAGTTCAAGCCCACGCAGCTCCAAGAGAAAAATGTGGCAATTAGCTTTTGTAAAGATTTATGATCTTGGGTTTCCAAAAAGGCAATTCTACTCTGTCCCTGACGGTCACTATTGAGTTGGATGACCATGGTTTGATTGATAGTAATAATTCTGTTGTTGCTGCTGTTGGTAGGTGTCATCAAGCCAACTCATAGCACAGTAACCTGAGTACAAAACAAAACCCTGTGCAAGTCTCTGCTCTGCTCGAGCCCCTAACAGTGCAGCAACTGTCAATCCATCTCATTGGGGATTGTCTGCTCTATTTGCTGGAGAAAGACTGTTTGTTTTTTTTTTAATTTTCTATTTTTTGTGTGTGTACCATCAAACCGGATCTGACTGTTACATGAGGAGACTGTCCCTCCTTCTCCAGCAGAGCACATGGTGGATTTGAACCGTGTATCTCTGGGGTTGCAGTGCAGCTTCTTGGCACTAGGCCACGAGAGCTCCCTTCAGAGAAAGATTTTACCAAGCACATCTTTTTCCAGAGACTGACTACTCATGATAATACACACAAAGTGTGAAGCTTATCATCTTCATTTCTGAGGTGCACTCGGGCTACATTTCCTCTAAGGCAAATCTGTTTGGTTTTTTTTTTGCGGTCCCAAAGAAACAGCCCTGTGGTTGTTGCCAGTTGGCATGTCAACTGTGCAGCTTTTGGATTAGAAGCAAAACTTGATACAGATTACACCACCAGAGCTGCCAGCCAAAAGGCTGATGGCTCAAATCCACCTCACGGTGCCTCAGAAGATCTGCTTCTAAAAGTTCTAAATCTTGAAGACCCTCTGGATCAAGATGTGTGGAAACTAGATCACAGAGTGGAAGTAGGAAAAATTACAATGTCGAGACTGTAATCAATGTCATAAAACAAATATACGTGAATGGCTGAACGGAATTGATTCTGTAACCTTTCCCTTCACTTTTCAAACAAACCCTACGGAGCAGTCATAAAAAACCTCACTGCTGTCAAGTCAGAACGGACTGTGGCTCTCAGCCTCACAGGAGAATGCCCAGCCTACTCCCACGGAGCTGGGGATATGAACTGCCAGAGAGGCACTACCTTTGTGTTAGCAGAGCAGCACCCTCCCCATGTCATACTCTGCATAAACGATGGGTCACTGTGTGTTGTTACTGACTGAACTAGGTGCCAATTAACAACAGTAATAATCACCTCAGATTCCCACAGGGTGTGGCAACTAGCAAGGGTTGAGCAAAGCTTCACAGCCACTGGAATGCTCGCTCTCTCTCCTAACTCTCAGTCCCACCCTCAGTGGGGCCTCTCTTGTGGCAAGGCTGCCTCCATTAACTCCAGGCCCGCATGTCTTCCCCAGAAGACAAAGCTGGGGATATTGTGAGAGGAGCTCTGTCTGAGAAGACTTTCCACGGTTTTCCATTTCTACCAAAACGCTCGGGTCCCCTGGTTTCAATCACAGTGTGACTAACTAACCATGTGTTGCGAGGACGCTGCAGAATAGAGCAAGGTTCAGTTCTGCTGTTCACAGGGTCGCTGAGTGGTAGTCACTGTGAAGGCACCTAACTACCACCAAGGAAGCTCTGATGGTTTCTTGTGGTTGCTGATTGCCTTCGAGTTGAGCATGACTCATAGAGACCCTATGAACAAAAGGCCTGAAGCCCCTCTACAACTGTCGACATCTATCAAAGTTCATAGAGTTTCTGGAGGCATGTTGTTTAGGAAATGTATGCCACTCCTGCTCCAAATCTGTCATAGTATGTTATTGTTGTTATGTGCCATTGAGTCACCTGTGATGTACAGCAGCCCTGTGTACAGCTCTGAACCCTCCCCTGTCCTGAGCC